TGCCGCTTTCATTGGGGGCGAAAGGTCGGATTCGAACAGCGACCTAAGATGACAAGATGACAAAATAAAAAATTATACACTACAATAAATTTAATTCTTTTTTATATACGAATCAATGATATGTATGATTCCGCAAAACGTCAACGTTAAGATTTTTCAGCAAGAATATTGCTTCATCTATTGTTATTTTTTTATATTTATCTGTTAAAAATTTTCTTATATTTATTTTCCTTTTATAAAAGCTAAATGTGTGTGTGTATGCATACATACGATTATTATATAATTAGAACTCATATACAAGACGTATTTTCCGCAAAAGAGTTTTTTAAAGGTGATAAGACTATGTAGAGATGTCAAATAAGATAATAGAATTAATCGAAAGTAAACAGCAAATTAATTCGCAAATGAATTGACGCTGATAAGCAATAATTAATGACACTTTAATTTTGGCATTCAATGTAACAATAACGAATATCTCATGAGAGACCGTTGGCTAAGGACTTTTTTTCTCACGTTTATTTGTCATTGATTTGCAATTAATGTGAGAAACTCAGGCGCAATGACCCGACTTCAATTTACTTTTTGCGATGTTTTTTGTCCATGAAAATATTATACCGTTATTCCTTTAAGTACTCATCTCAAACTGACATCACGACTTTTTCTCTCGAAAAACTTTTTACCATATTTTATAAAAAAAATAAATATAAAAAATTTTTGAAAGATAAATATAAAAAATAATAAATAAAGTGATATTTTCGTTGAAAACTTAAGAGATTGCTTAATCAAAGATAAATATTTCTTCCTCGAAGAGCGATATTTTGAATAATTAATAAATAAAATTATATTTCACATCTTAAATGTTTTAATAATTAAAAATACGATTCATTTAATTAGTATTAAAAACCAATATAGATGAAACTAATACAATATTCTTCTGCACTATTTACTTTAATTATTAATTATCGCGTGATATTCTGCGAAATCGACGAATATGTGTCTAATTCTTTTTCATAAATAACACCACATAAATTGTAAACGAGGATCTGTTTATCGGTATTGTTATTGATGCATTCTTCGATTCGTGCCATAATTTGATGAAGAAACAAGAAATACATTTATTGATTCTGTAAAATGGAAAAACCATTTAGTAATTTGCGCGTAGTTAGCAATGGATAATGAGAGATCTTTTTACTTTTATATTTTATGGATACATGTTCATGCGTCATAATTCTGCAATTTATTAAGAAATTAATAAAGAATTAATCACAACTTTAGAATATCACACAATTATAATCTGCAATTATCAATTGCGATCGATTTGCCGAAATCAAGCGTTAGATTAAACGCGCAGTAATTTTTTCATTTTGCGTTGCAATTTACTTCGAGTTTTTTTTCCCCTACAAAACGAAGGAATTATCGATTGCCAAGATTAATCTTTGAAAATCATGCACCATGAGTTTTTCCTCCAACGCTCCTCGGCCGCCCCGATCCTTGAAATCGTTTTGGCCGATGCTGCTGCCGCTGCTACTGCTACCGCTGCTGTATTGTGTCATTTTTCTTTTCTTTTTGCGACGACGCAATTATTTCGCGCGCGAATGCGATACAATTGAGATCAATTGGCGCGACCCGTTAAATGAAACGCTCCATTAATCGACTCGCGCCGCGTGTTTATGCTAAGTTTACACGTGCACCACGTTACCGCTCGATAACCTTCCTCCCGCGATCACCCACGTCGATACTTATCGCTGCACTTGTCATTGCGCGAGCAAACATTCCGCTGCGAAGCATCCCCGTGTCTCGCGGAACTCGGAGCTTTGCACAAATCGCGCAACTCGCCGATCTATTAATAATAATAAAAAAAAAAGGAGCGAGACAATTGAAGAAAATCTTGATGCGAACCGTTGAAACAATAAAAAAAGATTTTTATTCCTCCGCGAGCTTAATGCGCACGAAATGTTTGCGTGCACGTTGTGTAAACAAAACGGATCGGATGTGCGTTGTAATTATGCGTTCAGCTGACGATGAGCACGCACGCGAAGTGAGCGGAATATGCGGAATGTTATCGCGACACGGTCGGGCGACCGACTGAAGCGCACCTGTCCACCTGCCCAGGTAAAGGCGTCCGGCAGTTTACTATGTACGCGAAAGGATACGGTATATTGTAGGGCGTACCGCGACATTCGACCGAAGGATCTGCATTAACAATGACGTGGCTAATGCATAAACTGTTACCACTTTCGCGCTGTTACATCACATGTACTAATCTGCGGTATATTAAAAATTCAACCGAATGCCATTGTGACTCGGATTTAAAGCGGATAAGTCGTTTCGCTGCAGAATTAGGACGGAATATAGCGATGCCTTTTAGGTTTTCGCGATAAAGTGATACTTTTTCCAAGTATCGTAACGATATCGATATCAATCGAAGAGTTTCATCGTGCAATTTCTAATTTTTTCTCCCGTAAGAAAGAGAAAAGTGAATCGACACCGTTGGTCATCGCAAGACATAACACGCAAAAAGCAATCATTCACTTAAGAATTTTAATTACAGGATTAATTTTACTGTCGTTGATATAAAGCAGACGTTATATATGATTTTTTGCTTTTGGGTGAGAGAGATGTTCGTAAAATATTTTTCTTGAGAAACGCAGTTACGATATTTCTTATGAATGCCGTTGATGTGAAGTAAAAAATTTATAAACTCAATTATTTAATTATTTTTAGTTAAAAAAAAAGTTGTGATGCAGCAACGCCAAATTAACTGTTTGATATAGTGTTATTTTTTTAGTTAAATGCGCGAGAGAAGAATTGGTTGACGTTTCTTGACATGTTGCAATTCCAAAAGAAAAGCTCGAGGAATTATTTATGAAGTAGGCGAGTGAAAAGCATGCTCTGCAGTTACGAGCGTCTAGATATGGCACACGGAAGTTAATGCGATATATAACTCAACACTCAATTGTGTAAGTAGAGTTAAAGCCTATCGTTTAAAGTCTCGCAAATCGCGGTTTGTTCAACAAGTTGCGCGCTTCCTTGATCAAGCTGCGATTAATAACGCGAGAATGTCAAGGATGAGCGGGCGCACGGAGAAGAGAGTTACGTTTGTCGGCGCACTTAGCAATTTCGCGATTGCAATCGATCAGATATGTGTATCTGCAGCGCTGTATTTAACACAATACCGATTAATTTCTCCCTCGGCAATCCGCTGCATTATCAGCTGCACATCGACGATATTTATTTATGTCCGCGTTGTACGCGCCGATAAAGGAACGTTGATTGCGTCTTAAGCTTTCGACGATCTATAATTCGCAAGAAAATTCTATTTATAATCTCTTATCACGTATATCCGGATATATATACGAATGCACAGCGTTTCTCTTAAGGCCGCCTTAATTTTAATGACAGATTCTTCTTTAGATCGATTCTTTATTAAATGTCGAGAGATATTATTCATCACAAATTTCTACTTTCTGCCTATAAGCTGCAAAGTGAAATACTATTAAGGTAAAATCTGTTTTAAATTAATTGCAGCGCGTGGTTTTATATCGTCTGTTTGTTTTCTTAAAATTTAATTCGTAAAAAGACTGTACAAAAAAATAACATAAAATTGCAAATAGAAAAATCCTAAATCGCGAATCCCAGATCGTTTAAAGCGAGTTACGGTGAAAGCTTCACGGGATGCAATCTTGATTGTGGAAATAATTAACGTTAGGTTTGTTGGAATTTTTCAATCGCCGTGAATGTAGGTACATTAGAGGCATTATGTAAGGCATTAGAGCATCGATTTTTCAAATGGTTGGTCTTAGCGTCAGCCTTGTTCCATTTTCCTTTGTCAGAAACAGCGATTTTGAATATCGCGTCTTTCAGAATCTAAAAAGTAATTATACTTTGAATCGTAGGAGCGTGCAATCGCAACTCGCGCCTGTTCTGGCGCGCGGCTATCCGTTCCACTATCATTTTCGACCGACGAAAGTAATCAATGCTGGACACAGTTAAGCATCGAGGTCAGCACCGCTGAGTAGACCGGTCAGATATTGCCGATCGATATTTAGGAACGAAGGAAACGTTAAACGGGCATTATGCGGCGGCGGCGGAAGAGGGTTCACCACCTCTGACCTCCAAATAACGGCGTTGCATTCGATTATTGAAAGCGGATTATTGTTAGCAGAAAATTCGACGGAAATAATAATGAACGAGCGCCGGTTTCGGCGGAGCGCTACTCGGTAATGTGACACGCGTATTAATATGACAGAAGCCGCTTCGGCGACATAAATATTAACGCGAACTCGGTGAACTCGACATTGGCGCGAGCGTATTTGAACGGGAACACGAAGGAGGAAAACGCGAAGGCGGACATATCGCGCGGCTATTTTAAGAGTGCGCGAAAAAGCGCCGTCCGCGCATTAATTGCTCCGCCAGAGAGTATCGGAGAATTCCATTACAAGGAAATTGCGTGAGACATGTAGATTGACCATTCTCAACCCTTCGAGCCACTGAAAGTGACCTTCACTCCTACGACGTTTCTCGAACACACACATCCATCTCGCCGTAAAGCACGCGCGCGCGCGCGCGCGCGCGCCGCACCGATCGTATCTCTTTTAAGATCGATCATATCTTTTCGCTCGACACGCACGCAGGAAGATAGGAGACGTTTCGAGGGCGAGGTGAAAATATAATAGGCCGATATTCAGGATTTCGGTGATTCATTCATTTCCAGTAAAAACGCGATTGTACAATATGATATGACAAAAAAAAAACGTCAATATGCGAAATGCAATTGTTTCGCAAACGTTACTTTGATCTATTTCGTACAGGATTCTGCATAAATTACGATATGATGATGAACTGCGGAATAGTAGTTTGCTCGACGTAGATGTTATCTGCGGAGTTTACATGCAAAACTCACATTTTCAAAAATTGTTTGATTTAGTTTTATACGCGTTTCTGAGATAAGCGATCAAATTTTAGGATAAGAAAGTGTTCTATAAACAAACTCGCAAATGATTCATTCCTAAGCGACTTTTCAAAGTTTCCCATTCCGCGATAAGGTACGAAATATCTCATATCTATTTTTTATTCACCTTGACACTTCTATGTACAAAAGTTAATTTACATTAAAAAAATATAGGCGCAGGCGATGCATCGAGAAGTATTATATGAATAGCATTTTGCTAGATATTTTATGACAGAATGTGAAACTTTCAAAAACTGTAACTTGGAAATCAAACATTTGCGGAACTATGTTTATATGCGTTTCTTATTATTACAATGAGTGAAATATACTCTTAAAATTTGATCCTTGTAAAAAGACATTCACTATACAATTAAGTTAAAATAACATAAAACCATAAACGCTTCATATTTTTGCTGCAGAATTTTTCACTCGCGGAGAATTTAAGTTTTACACTTAGAACCGTCGTGTGGAAATGTTATGTGTTCTACTTCTCTAATCTTACTTCGTGCGAACATTTTGACAGCACCAAGAAAGAGTATCGCCATTACTTCCGGGCAAAGGTTCTTTTACGCGATATTCTTTCAGTTTTAATAAAATTCTATTTTCGACAAGAAAATCATTGTACGAATAAGTCTAAAAGGCAGCAGCTTGCACTTGTGTGCAATACTCTTCATTGATGCTGTCGAGTCTCGTCATTCTCGCGTCTTTCCGAGTTTCGTTGTACGTACAGCCGAAACGCGTTTACCAAATTAAATGAATTAGCGTACGATCTCAGATCCATATAAAAGACCAGTAGAGTATGTTGAATATGATGAACGACACGGGGAAGACTATTCTGCTGCGCTTGTCGATCCACTGCGCGATTTCCTGCGGTGTCATCGTCGTAAAATTGTGCAGCTTGGCGAGAGTCGCCCTGCGAGGAAAGGGCTTGGATGGCGGAGTGCTGTCGATGGTCGTGATACTGCCGACAGAGCAATCCGGATCCTTGTCCTCCTCTATTCTCACTGACGGAATGTTGATTGTGCTCGGAAAGCTCTGGAAAGAGCGAACGTGACAATTTCGCGACGGAACTGTTACATAAATTGTCTTGGTCTCTTTAACAATAAGCTCTACTTAGAAGAAAATTTTATGTATTGAAGAAAGATTAAAATCATTATTTAGATTTGTTTAAAAGTTTGTGAAATGTATAACAATTTTTTATAAAGTTTTTTAAGATATAAAAATAAAAATTTATAAACATTTTTTTATTCTTCATTGTTTTATTAGAAGAATTTATATAGAATTGATAATATAATGTGAAAGAAATTTTGTTCAGAAATAAAATATAATGATTAATTTTATATATATGTAAATTAAAATGCAGTAAATTATGTATGCAGTTGTGTTTACGTATTAATTTATTACGCATTGATACGAAAAAGCGTAAATAATCTTGCGCTCTTTGCGAATACTTAGAGGTAATAAATATGTCTCAGTTACAAAAGAATATTACGTGATGAAGCTGAAGACGATTTCGTTTAAGATCTCTTTGACTAATGCAAGAAAGAGATTTGCGAGACGCAGGACGGAATTAACTGTTCTTCTTCGAAGAGATTGTTTCTCGGCGCGCTTTGCGGCTTAGCATTGAGAGTAAATTATTTTATTGGCGACTCACGTGTACGGTGAGATAATTCTGACTCGTGAAGTCCTGCTCGCTGTTCGTATTCGTGTTATCTAACGACGACCACGATCGCGAGCGTTCCAGTCCGGTTGTATTCTTCTGGAACTGCTTTCTCGCCAGTCGCGGGGTCAAAGTTGACTTCAGAATGTACTTGCTGTTGACTTTCTTCAACGGCACATTCTTCCTGCGCACACGAACACGTTACTGTGGAAGCTTAAAGCTCCGCGGGGGGGGAAAAAAGTTCACATACTTTCTCCTGTATATCGTGTTGACGAAGGCGAACTCGACCATTGCCGCGAACAGGAACACCGTGCAGCCCAAAAACCAAATCTCACTCGCTTTTATGTAAGACACCTTCGGCAACGAATTTTCCACTTTCGACGCAAGCGTCATGAACGCCAGGATGGTGTTCGTTCCTGAAAGTGCAAGGTTCGCGCAAGTCCCTCAAATATCAACGCCGGCATCGTATATTGCCGCTCCGTCTGCTTCATACACAGATATTTTACCTAAAACTATTCGCGGCGCACTTGCGTCCTGGTGTAACCAGAAGGACACCCAAGAGACTACGACGATCAATATAGACGGCACGTAATAGTCCATCATGAAGAATCCCATTTCACGCGCAAGTTTAAACGTAATACTTATCGAACTGAAATTGCCGGCTGCAATCGTCGTATCATTAGTCGTGCATGCTTTTTTTTTTAAATCGCATCAAAAAATTATTTGGATTTGAGTTTTACCGAAATGCCCGTAAATATGCTGCGTCTCGGTGTAAGATACGCCGGAGCGATTGGTCCACGTGTCCACGAGCTTGTACTCCGTCAGATATAAATCACTCGCGACGACAATCGAATCATTGTCCCAGTCCAGCACCATTTCGTTGACATTGTGAGTCCCTGCAGGTAAAGCAATCGTTTGCATGAGACACGGCTAAGCGTCAATATAATGCACTGAAAAGAAAAGTGGCTCTGACGATTAAACATACTATGCTGACGATTATTTCGTTCAAAATTTGCGTACTGAAGTAAGAAGATTTATGCATTTTTCAACACGTGCAATTGAAAAAGAATTATGTGGTTTTCCGTATAATTTAGAGAATTCTGGAGCTTATAAATTTTAATCGATTTGCGATCGATCCATCCGAGTGGCTAAAGTAACGATCAAGTTGGATCGAATCAACACTAATCTCAAATCTATCAAAACATATAGCTGGATGGAAAAAAAAAAATGTTCTAAACTTTTTTCTCAATGTGCGCATTTGTGCGGTGTTAAGCTTCGCACGATGCTTTTCTCTAGGCAGCACACCATTTTTTCAGCTGCATTGCATAATATTTCGTTAGCGATTGTTAGAAGAGCATCGTGCGTCAAAGTTACGCTGATAATACAACAATGGCAGTCCTACAGCTTTCGAACACCAGCGGGCATTCTTGCACGTCAAACGGAAACTTTTCCAGTCGAAGCCCGCAATTCAGCATGGTCACCAATCTGAAATTCAAGCGGGCGCCCCATAAACAGGCTTGCTCATCGAATTGCATTGCACGGTTCGCTTGCCTCGACGATCGAATCGTCGTGAAAATCTACCTCGTGTTCAAGATAACCATGCCGCCGGGACTGATGGAGATGAGCAGATCTTTGACGCCGTTTCCCATCACGGCCGACGAACGCTCGTTCGCGACGTACACGGTGGGCGTCCAGATGAGCGCGTGAGCGTTTTGGCCGCCGTATATCTGATTCATGTACGGGGCTATGTCCGTGAACTCGAGCCGTTTGTCCAGATAACGGAACTGCAGCATTAGATGCACGTCAAATTGCTGCAATGTGTCATTTATTCTCACGTCATTATCGATCCTGGACGACGCCCGTGCTACGCCTCATCGCCCACGCAAGGTATATAAGTAAAATTGTCGGGGTACCAGAGTTTTCGCCATGTTGGACTTTATCGTGTAGATAAAAGCTTTGGTGTAGATTCTGATCGGATCGATCGCATTCTCCACTCCGGGCGGCCTCACCATTTTGTCGTACCGACACTCGTTCGCCAGTTCCTGCAGGAGTTCCGTTTGCGTCATGGAGCTGCTGAACGACGGGCAATTTCCCAATCTGCAATGCACATAAAGTACCTTCTTAAAATCTATTCTTCGTTTGTTTATTTTCAATTAGCAGATGCGCAGCTCGCACCAACAATCGCACGCCTTTATTCAGTTTCAAATCTCCAAAACATGACGAAAGGGATAACGTGACGCGATAAAAACACATGAAAGAAAATACCGCGACATCTCAAGGGGTCTTGCGGTCTCTCTCATTGTTTCCTAACTCAGTCGTATCAAATTACGACGGCTGGGGACTAAATAAGGAGGAAGTGCGCCAGTTTTATGAAACTTGAACGTAACAAGTTGCACGTCAAACGGTCAATAGAACATACGTCCCGACTTTGAAAGAAGATGCTCGAATTAATATTCCAGACCTCGTCGCGTCGCGTATCTGTCTCCGATGTATGTTCATTAGCTCTTTGTATTGATGTAGATGACACGTTACAGCATTAAGACTACAGATAATTGCGTACCGAAACTAATTTTTCTATCACACGACGCGCATGTGACTTTGTAAAGAACGAAGACTCACGCAGCTACTTGTATCACGAGTCGATCAAGCGCAAGTCTTAATTAAGCGCACAAATATCGTCACTTTTCTGTTCAGTTCTGTCTTGAATAAAATTGTTGATTGTTAATTTGGCAAATTGAGAAGCTATATCACGTTTCTCGATGGAGTAATCCACGAGAAGAAGTAGAAACAAAACTTTATTGCAACTTACAGCAATTTTTTTCTGCTTCCTTCACAATTCTGTTCGACTTTAAGACTTGCGTCTGGTCTCCCGTTTTGTAAGCTTCTAAATTTCTACTCTGATAGAAATATTAAATCGACAGAAAATTTATTCGAAAAAGTCGAACGTTATTCTAGAGAATAATTACAAGCATTGCAATCGGAGAGAATTGTGTAAACCAGAGCGAAATTCTTGCAAACTGCAATAAAATTTTTCTTTTTTCGCTTTATTTTTGTTTCTCTAGAGAAATGCGAGACTGCCAAATTCTGTGAGACGATGTTTACAAAAAAAAAAAACCCTTGTTTCTCGCTCACGTGATAATGTTGAAAATTAATTTTCTTTCGATTTAATATTTCTACCAGAATAGAAGTTTAAGAACTTATAAAACGGCGGACCAGACGCATTAAAGTCACGTGATGGAAATTACATTTTGCAAGAAAATATAGACGCCGAGTGTACACGTGCTTTATTCGTAAGGCACAAAGAAACACCGCCGACTTTATTAAGTTCTTATCTCACTCGGTGTGCTACCTGAATTTATGATATCAAACATACTCGCTAAATATTCTGTTTATATAAGATACCAGTGTATTTATGCGCATCTTTGTCTTCATCGAATTGTATGTACCGATCGCGATTAGGATTAAACCCCTCTGACGTTATACCGTGTCATGTGACATGTCACAGGCCGCACTAATTAATATTTGTACAGAGTGCTTTAATTATACCGAAAAGAAAATCCGAAGAAAAATCAATTTCGAAGTAATTAGAGTATTCTTTGAAATTTCTAAACATATTTTTTCGTGCAATTAAGATATAAAATGTTACTTTTTTCTTAAGAGAATTTTATTCTAGGTGAGATTTCTCTATTTTTTTCTTATAATTACGTGATTTTTTTATTTAACCGCGATTTAAAGTTTTTAATGTAATATTATATGTGTTTATAATTAGATGCAATTAATATAATATACAATGGAACGCAAAATATAGAATGCCACTTGACTCGAATTGAAATATATTTCTTGCTATTAAGAATCCAAAAAATGGATCAAATTTTATTCCGAGGGAAATACTTTTTCGATTGTCATAACTTTTTGAAATATTTCAAAATAAAGTATGAAATGATATTATTTAATTTACGAAATGACTGAAAGGATTAATTTATGTTATAAGATGAATTATGACAATCAAAAGAATATTTCTTTCAGAACAAACTTTGGGACATATTTTGGATTCTAGCGATGAAAATATCAGGCAACTAACGAAGTTTGTGCGAAATTGTGTGGGTTTTTGTGAAATATATTATCGACAAAAGTTTTATTAATTATCTGATGGTTCAATGGAACGATCAAATCGAGCGACAAACTCTATATCTTCCATTCTATGATATATCATTTTTTCTACATATTAATTTCACTGGTTTGGCGCCTATATTGACATTTCTGTCGTTTTAATCAAGATATTTAGAGCGAACAAATTAGCGAATAAAAAGGCGAGCACAATAATGGCGAAGCAAAGCGGTGCGACGAGTGAAAAAAAGTCGACGAGAAAACAGAGATTAAGTTTTCGAATGCCAATGTTTGAACAAGTGTAAATCCGATGCTTGTTTGTCGTCAAACCGAAAGACGCGCACGCGAAAACGAGCGATAGTTCCCGGCGAGTGTTTCGTTAAACGGCTTTTGTCACGAAGGTGTCATTCCCGTCTCACGGATTTACGACGAAAAAGGAAAGAGCAGATGAAGATTTTTTGCGCCGTACGTAAAAAGCGCTCTTTCGCCGCGGAACGGTTCACGGACATTGCTCTGATTCGTTAATGATGGCGGCTGATCGCATTCACGAGGTCGAATGTCACGCGCCAATAAGTTCGCGAAAGCAGCCATAAAATGTTTCGCAAGGCCGAAAATAATAATTAAGCAAAATTTTGCCTCATATTACGCCGTATTTCCGTATAATCCAACGTGCGCAAAGTCGCGCCGAGTCGCTTAGCCGGGACTTACGTAAATGATATATTATTCGCGGGAAAACGAGGATAAAGATTGAATGACATTAACGTGTCGTTTTTTTTTCTCTCTCTCTTCGTTTTTTCGTATTATCTTACAGTGGTGCGGCAGGACCCTTCGGAATAAAACGACGAAAGCGGACGGCGTGGTGCGCCGCGCGAATGAATGAGACTTGCGGTTTTGCGGAAAATTTATCAAGCGTATATTTCGCAGGAACCACTAACGGCCGCGACCAAGTGTCATTCCAGGCGGATAATCACCGTTTCTTAGACGGACGAAAAATTGCAAGTTTTAAATATTTATTCAGATTCTGTTATAAATTAGCACCGAGTACCATTGCGTGTTCAAATAAACCAACGTGAAAAAACCGCTTCTCGACTGAACTTCGACATCCAAGTGTGAATTGCAAAATATAGGAAACATTTTTATAATACACAAGATATATTGAGTATAATTCTTTCTGTTTTGTCTGTAAGAAGCAGACAGGCCGGCGCATGTAAATTGCACGCGCTTGTCTGTCGGCTTCCAAAGTAACGTTATTTTTTTTTTTTTTTTTTTAATTTTTAAATCCTTTCTACGCACATTTCAAAAGTGATTCTTTCAATTTTCGGAAAATGAAAAAAAAATTTTTTCCCTGAAGATTTTAGAGAAAAATTTCCTCCGAGTAAATTCGTTGTGCAGCTTACACTTTGGTCGCATCCGCGAGCAACGGTGCGCGCAACAGATAAACGGAGAGCGCCAGAACGAAGACTCCTCCTCCGAGAGTCATCCTTAAAGCCCCCTTTTGTCACTTAACTGTACCACTAATAGGTTCCGACTGATCCTTCCTTGTAAGCCGTCGGCGTGCTCGGGCGAGGAAATTCGCTGGAAACCAGACGCCCAGACCAAACCTCGCTCCCACTCTCATGGTGCTCCTCCAGACTCGCTCGAATACACACATACGCGCAGATATATACGTGTGAAAAAAAAGTGTGATGTGTGACATCAACGCGTATACGTACTCGTCGTATGTATAAAACTTAACAATGTTGTGTAGACTTTAGCACTCTCTCATCTCATCGTGTAATTTATACACCGCCGTTTCTAACGCAATGCACTAATTCTACGGCATGCACGCGCGACTTCAATATCAGTTATCGTTGCGCTGACTTCCCGGAATCCACGTATGCGTAATTGTTTACCGAATGTTGCGCGAAAAGATGAGCGCAAGCTCTGCCTAATGGTCCATGATTCACATTTCTGTGCAACGAAATTTCTCTTATCCCCCACGCGAACACGAAGGCTTTATCATAGCGTGATCGCGCGCCCAGGTGCGCTCTTGTTTTCGCCTAGCGCTGTCGTACTCGCCGCTGTTGCAACCGATATTTAAAAGTATAAATTTGCTACAAGTATAGATAACAGTTTGATGAAATCAACAGCCACGTGAAAAAATGTCGTAAATATAAAAACAGAATTTGTACATTTTATTTATACATACTTATGTATAATATGAAACATATGATACATAATGTGTATTCCTTGAATATTCCACGTTAGAGGCGCGAAAGATATACGACGCTTGGGTTCACGATACCGCACTGCAGAGATAATACGATCGCATTCGTCGGGTATATCATGAATATTCCATTTGCACAACATGTATTCCTATTTAGTGCCAATTGATACAATATTAGGTTTCATGCGATTAACCGTATAAGTCAATAGGTGAAGATCCTGCAAAAGCTTGGTTAATCTTTTGAAGTGTCTATCAGTATAAGGTATCGTAGCTTCTAGAGTGGAAGATAATCCCGACATCTGCAGCTGCTGAGTGCCGATCTCCGTTATCAAAGCATTTATCACCACCTGAAAAGAGCAAAAAGGAAAAATTCAGAATTCCTGTGCAAAATTAGTGGATTTTAACCCGACTGTGTTGAATTCATCGAATCACTAATTATCGCGCCCATTAAATTTATTAATTACGGAAACTATCGAATCTCTATTGAACTGTAAATGATTAAATTTCGCATTATACCTGAGCGGCGTGTGAATTCCGACTATTCGTGTTCCACGTAACCGCGCACCTGAGTAACGCTTGTTTGCGGACTGGTTTTAATTCCTTTATGATTTCCACGAGCTCGTTATTTCCCTTTCTCAATATGGCTGGGATAGAAAAATGTGTGTAATTATAAATATACGTAACAAATCAACGTAAGTTACAAATTTCTTGCTATTCGACGGAAGCCATCGTACCTTCTGCGATCTTGAGGACTTGCAACGGCCGCTCCAATTTGAGAGCTAATCGCAACGCGGCGTGGAGTTCTTCAGCTTTCAGCAAATTCGCCAACTTCTGTTCTTCGAGCGCGAGCTGCTCTTTTTCCGACGCCTCTCGCGCCCGCCTTTCCTCAGTCACATCCCTCCAAATGACCAACAATGAGTCACTGCCGCCGCTGATTATGTGCTTCTGATCCTTCGTCACTGTTACACACACATTTATGCTGGCGATATGTAAGAATTGAGATATTAGCGTAAATTTTGAAGAAACTTACCTGCGAGCGTCCAAACGTGGCTCTCGTGCTGATCCAAAGTGGACATGCATTCGGACGTTTTGACGTTCCACAATTTCAAAAGACCGTCTCCGCCCGCCGTAATGAGTTGCAAACCGCGCGACAGAAACTCCCCCCTCAAGACGGAGGACTCGTGTCCTTCGAACGTCTGTGATAACAGACGCGAATTAAGTCACGGTATGAGATTACGGATAAGCAATTTCCTTTCACTTACTTTCAGACAATTGAGCTCAGTCAAGGACCACAGTTTCATCGTGCAATCGGCGGACGTGGTGAGGAGCACCTGATCGGCTGGCGAGAATCGAACGCACCATACGCCTCTTCGATGGCCGTGAAATACGCCGAGCAGCTGCAAATCCTCCGCGGACCACAACTGCGGGTATCACTTAATTATCATGTAATTCGAATAATGATTATAATTTTGGCGGAGCGCCCATAACCTTAGAATTACTCGCTTGCGCTCGAGCCAGTTTGATCTATGCAAATGTATACCTTAGCAGTTTTATCCTGCGATGCTGTGGCGATCAATCTATCATTTGGCGAGACGGCCACGCAGTTTATCTCCTTTTGATGTGCTAATACTGTATGATTTACATTTAATGGCAAATCTTGACCTGTAAATATCGGTAATGCACTTTTATCTCATGTTAATGGAATTTTATTTGAGAAATTATGTTTTATTCAACTTACTGTGCGCTTCCACGTTGTCGGACAATTCCCACAGCTTCAGGCAGGAATCTTGAGCGACGGTGGTGAAGAATTTAGTCGATGTTTGAGATATAGCGACAGAACTGATGGATGCTGTGTGTCTAACGGCGTGTCCGATGCAAGACATTCTTGTCGTCTCTTTGTCCAAAAGCCATACACGAACGCTGTTGTCCTACAAATAACAATTTTGTGATATAAAAGTTTCAATTGTACCATCTCGCATATGTCTGATATCACTAAGTATATCGCATTGTCTGATTGCAGACTGCTGTGATTATTGTTCTTAAATATCATGAAGAAATACACACCTTGGCCGAAGACACGAGCAGATTCACGTTTGCCGGACTCGTAGCAAGTGCCAAAATGCTGTCGGTATGACCGCACAACAGCTGGCAGTTCATTGAGGCGATATCGTAGAACTTTATGTCGCAGCTATTGGTCGCGAGCGCGATGTGGCTATCATCAGCTCCGAGATACGCGACGTCCAGAATTTCGTCGCTGTAACCCACCAACTGCCGCGATCTAGTTTAGTATCTGCACGAGATTTGTTTCGCGGAATTACACACCAAGTGTACCAACCTGCTTTTTGCATTCAAACAAATCCAATGAGTGGATGATTATATTGTGATCGACGGATACCACCGCAAAAAGATTGCAGATACTATTGTAAAGTAAGTGCGTAATCGACAGACTCCCTTCTTCCTTAGCCGGTGGCACCAGAGAATCGTCTTGTTCGTAAATCTGCCTGCCTGTCTTCATCTCCCAGATTTTAACGACACCTGGAAAATTCTCGTACTTTATTAGTCACGTATTGATAAAATGAAAGATTAAATTTGAATCGTACTTGACAATTATATTTAAGAACATGGTTATACTACAATAATTAATACACAATTTTCTATCGAAATGTAAACAATTCTTAAAATAATTTAGAGGATGTGTCTAGGTTTGACGTAGATATTCAAATGTTTTAATATATCACCCATGCATATTCTTAAACATATAAATTGTTTGTCAACGCACCTTTCTCACCAGCTGAGGCAACATATATACCATTACTTTTGTGCGATTTAACAAATGCTGGCAGGACTTCAGAGCGTATTATAAACGCTCCTTCTATTCCTTCATACACCGGTAAAACGCGTATGGATGTTCCAGATGATATGTCCCATAGAATTAGCACTCTGTCTCTCCCTGAACTGCGCACACGTAGTTATTGATTTTAGGGTATAATTTTATTTAATAATAAACTATATTCCCTTCTTACCTAATCAGGTAATTCCCATTTTCGTGAAAGCTAAGTGATGTTACTTTGCTGAAATGTCCAGACAGAGTAATCTTTTCCTGTCCAGTAGTGATGTCCCAACCGTGAATCTTTGCATCGTCGCCAGCAGCAAAAAGAAGCTGCTTTTCAACATCCGAATGGAACTCCAACACACTAAACAAGAGTAAAAGCACCAGTATTAACTCTGAAAGACATTTTGCAATGTACTTTATCTTATGTATGTCTCCATACCTAATCACTCCCTGCACTCCTTTGAGATTATGTGTACATGTGTGGTGTTGCAAATCCCACAATCGAACAGCACTGTCGCTTCCACCAGACGCCATTAAAGCGATACCATTTAAAAGAGTTATTCTCGCTACTGGTCCTTTATGAATAGATTTCCATAATTTTGTCAACTTATTCTCTGCAACAGTTAAAATAAAAAAGGATAAAAATATTAGACATAAGAATATTACATTCATGCTGAAAGTAACTAGATTTGAAAAGTTCTTGAAGTAAAATAAAAAAATGGTTTATATTTTTTAAAAATTATTTTTACTTTTCAAGATCTCCTTTACGTATAATATTAATACAATTCTCCAGAATTTGCATTAATGCCATTTATACTTCATTCTGAAAATATCTCAAGTGACCCATTAATATATAAATATAAATGTGAATTACCTTTCCAATCCCATAATTTGAACAATCCACTTTTGTGATGAGTGATTAAGCTTATGCCATCGTCGTCAAGAGTGAAGCAATTTATCATATCCTCTTGTTGACCAGCATCCGTCTGACCCAAAGATGATATCACAGAGCCTTTGCTCACAGATATTACAGACACAATGCCGCCTTTCTGGCAGAATAAGTGCTCTCCGTCCTTGCTCCACTGCAACGAAAGAATGTGTTAAATATACAACAAAATGGACAAATTCTTTCAGAAACTTACTTGTATATTTCCACCGGTGTAAAACGCTCCTTGTTTGCATTCCACTTCAAACCTGTAAATATAATATATAACATTTTAATACAACATTATTAACATAGCATTATTAAAGTCACATTGTTAACATTGCAGTTATCAAGAAACAGTTGCAGTACATGTATTTATGTAAGATAATACTAACGCTTCTTTCAAATTAGCTTTGCTCATTTTTAATATCACTCAAGGAGGGAACAAATTTTTCTTTTTTTTTCAATTATATCATGTCATTTTTTTAAAATACCATGAGCAGACAATATTTTCAATCTGAATTCAGATTTTTATATGCAAATATTGGCACCTTCTGGTCTTATATCTTTTATTATTTCTGTTATTTGTTTTAAGACGTTATTTAATTTATTGTTAATATCTCGTTTGTTTATTAAATAAGGTTATACTTATAAACACGTGTTGTAGCACAACAGCTACTTCAGTTTCACTTTAATTCCACACTATAGATGTCCTATCGCGTTCGTTAACTTTTTGCACCATCTAGCGGTGTACCACAGTAAATATTTTTGTAACGCAATGGGGCATCTAGTACTGTAACCGTAGGAACACGTAGGATTAAGACTTCTTGAATGCAAATGAACGTAATGAGATATTAGTGCTTCAAGTAAAGAAACAAACGCATCCGGACATAATAGAGCTGTGGCTAGTTTGTGGCGATATCTGTGAAATTGTCTTCGAGCGTTTATTGACTTGTGTCAATTGAAATTATCGGAACATTGTTATTGTTACCAAATTCAAAATATCAAACAGTCAGTTTTACGGTGGATCAAAAATAAAATTAAACGTAAAATTAAAATTTTGTACATTAATAATGGTATAAAAATATTATTCACTGTTAAGTGTCTTACATAATCATTGCTTTAGTGCTTTAAATTGGATTTTTATCATTTTTCTTTTTACAAACGTCGTTGGATTAATCATGAACGACCGAGCAACCGTTATAAAAGAATATTATATTAATCTAGATTATATTCAGATTAATAAAATAGTGAGTATGAATATATCTAACATAAATACAACATAACAAATCTATTGTCAGCAAATTGTAAAATTTATTGTATATTATATATGTTTGGCGAAATGTTTAGTATAACTTTTTTTTATATATTTTTAGGCAGCGGAAAGAAAAATGTCTATTTTACTTGAGCAAGTAACAAATAAATACTCCAATACTTTAGCAGAAAGGTAAATACTTTTAATGTTGATATGCAAATTTGATAAAAAAATTTAAATTTTAATGTAATAAAACTTTTTTTATATTTATAGATTTTATGAAGTAGCATCTGTAATAAAAGAAAATTGGTTTTTTTTTGCATCATTATGTAAACACATAGATATAGTTACAACTATTGTACAATATTTGATCGATATTGGTGACATGATAAAAATGAATTTGTGTTTTGGTAGGGATAATATATATATATAATTATTCTTATATAAATACAATTGTAAAAATATTTATATTATATTATATCTTTAATATTAATTATTATGTTATATATTGAGTTTGATATTTATATACATATATATATAGGATGTTTCATAATTTTACAGAGAAAGGTTGAATTTATTTAATTTTATTAAGAAATGGTAATAAATTTTTTCATTATTTTACGTGTTAAATTTAGCTCTGAAATTATAGTATATGTTATAATCTTCTACGAGCATGTGGTGTGTGTACATAATTTTAACAATTTGGGTATTATATTTAAATATTTACGCATTACATAACTATTAATATAAAATTGAGAACTACATTTTTATTGATTAATTTATTTATATTGACTCTTGTTAATATTTTAATTTTATATTTAATCTCTCATAAATATCAAGCGCTTAAAAATGCTAAATTGTCAAACACAGTCGTGAATCATTATCCATAAATTTTTAGATGATGTTTATACCGAATTGTCAAAGTGTAGTTTAATATTGAAGTATTAATTCCTTTTGCGTATAAGTTATTTATATATATAAGTTATATAGTTTATATATATAAGTTATTTAGTTTATATTTTTACACACACATTTTTTTTATACAAATAAAAATACGTTTTAGATTTGAACATGAAACTATTTTATTCTACTAAATTAAAAAAAATTTTTTTTAGATAATAACTATAATGTTGACAAAACAAGGACGCTAACATTTTTAACACTTTATAATGTATGTCCAGAAGTTACAGTCCGTTCATTTTTGTGTGCTG